GGCGCCCGGGAGCGCCGCTGTCACCGCGGGAGGCTTCCGTGGCACCGCCGCTGTTACCGTGACCCTCCGGCCCTGGCACCGCGGGGAGCTCCTGTAGCATCGCCGTTCCTGTCGTGACCCCACGGGCTACCGCCGGGAGGGAAAACCGTGACCCGTTTTCTGCGTTTTTTCCCAATAATGCTCGTAAGAAAATACATGTTGTCTTGCCGATCGGCCGCCTCTTCGGTGTGCAGGGGAACAGGGCGCTACTGCTCGGATTCGGGGCAGGTCAGGGATCTTTTTCGTGGATATAGGGCAGTTGGAGTGCTCGCAGCCTCGTCCTGGAAAGGCCCTCGAGCTGTTCCTTTGGTGGCTGGAGCTGCAGCACCGCACCCGGGAATGCGGGGGGCCTGGAGTAAGAGCTCGGAGTTATCCGCTGCCTTTTTCCATCGGGAGGGCGGGGGACAGCCAGGTGCTTCCAGTGTCGCCAGAGCCGCGTGTCCAGCAGCAGCACTGAGGGAGGGCAGCACAGGGAGCACCCCGGGCGTACCGTGAGGGACATTGTACGGACGGGGCGTCTGTGCAGGTGGCTTCCCTTGCCGAGGAAAAGGCTCAAGAGGGGTGGAAATGCTGGCTTAGGTGCAGAAGCCAGGGGACCGGTAAGCCTGCGAGGCCAGCAGGAGGCATCAGGACAGGCTGCTATTGAAATCTGCAGTTGTCCAAGCCCTCTCTTGGTCCCTGCCGGGACCGTGTGGTTCACGAGCAATTCGTTCGTATTTAAGACACCGAACAGATTTATCCCTTCTCCTGCCGCTGACCCGTGTTTCTCCACGAGACATTGTAGGTTTTGGTGGATCTTTTTAGCCAGTGGGTTACGAAGGTGCTTTGTGACCCACATGGCAGCGAAGGCTCCTGACAGGCTTTCTAGATGTTTCTGCTAACACGGTTTAACAGCTGAACAGCGTGACCTACATCTTTCCCGTCCATGCTCTTCCAGTGCTCTTGAAGAAATGTCAGGCCTAGATGGCATTAAAGCTACCTCCCTCCCCTCAATATCTTTCAATTTAAACAGTTTGAACAGTTTAGATTTCTTACTAAACATCTATCAGAGCAATGAAGCTGTTTATATCCACCTTTAAGCTATTTTGCTGTCGTGCAAACAACATGCAATATACCTGAAACGCTTTTCTACCCAAAGTCTTCCTGTTGTAGGGAGGCCAAATGAGTTTTGGTTCCCAGTAAAACTCAGTTTGCTGGAAATCCTGCTCCAAATGCTGGGAGCAAGTTATTTCACTTGGACTTTCAATTAACCTCCATAATTTCTACTTTCCTTTAAAAGGTCCACTGATGTTTCTGCAGGCACTTTTATTCTTTAATATTAAAGGATTTTATTTAATCATTTCTTTACTGTTAGAATTACTGAATATGCAAAGTAAGGGAATAGCATGAGTCAGCTGATGGGTGGATTAAGGAAAGATACCAGAAAAGAGAGTATTTGGTGGCCACTAATTAGAAGTCACCAAGTTTTGCCTTTTGCTGGATCCACCCTGGCAGAGCGGATGTAGATGGCAGGGGAGAGATGTCATTTGATAAACTACATCCCCTGGGATTTGCTAGATCTCCTGTAAAAGAACAGATTGTCACTGAACTTAGTGACAGTTTGCACGGAAATTGAGAGAAAAATGGATCCTGGTCACTTGATCACAGGGCTAATTACAGTGTGCTACGTGGGTGTCTACTGACAGTAAAAATACCACCCTTTCTACACTGGGTTTGATGTGGCTGTAAGCAGTTTCGAAGGCTTAGGAGGGCTGTCAAGCTGTGTTTGCTGAGGAGTCTTTCTCCACCCTGCCAAGGTGTGCTGGCACAGCCACATCTGGGGCTGGACATTGCTGAGGAGCCTGACCATTCCCCCAGCACGCACAGGAGGTGGGCAGAGCAGTGGGAGCTGTGCACGGCAGGCTCCTGCCTCTGCTCTCCAAGGGAAACGAGAAGTGGGTGAAGTTACAAGGGTCAGTAACAGACCTGGTTAAACCTATTCGGGAGTTTGCAGACACCAGCTTTTGCTGAAAGCTGAAGTGGCGGTGAGGGAGGTGTTTCTTTGCAGGATGCAAGGAGTCTTTCTTCCACACAGACTCCTGACATCCATAAACAATCTGTCACACTGGCTGTCCACCACTCCAGCTGTCACATGGGTGTCCCCTCTTGGTCCATAGTCCGATGCATTTGCCAATGGGCCAAGACTTTTACCTTTTTTAAATCCCCCGAATCGTGGAATGCACTGTGCTTTCAGAGCTTTTTTAGAAGTTTTCTTTGCCAGCCCAAAAGCATGAGACGCTGGTTTTGGAAAACAATTTGGACTTTTTGACATCTGAGTTGTAAAGGAGATTAAACCAAGTCAGTGGGTCATTTGCATTTCCCAGTGGATTCTCTGTAATTTCCTCCATGATTTAAAAAATAGTTTGAAAGTAAAGGAAATGAGAGAGTAACTGGGGGTATTACAAGGCTGTTGATTTCCCTAGACAAGTTTGTGGTAATTTTTAGGCAATTCGCATTGTTTATAAAATTTACAAAATGGAAAACACAATATTGGAGTAACAAAGTCCTGCAGTTCTGCCACCACATCATACTCTGAGGACCACTGCTTTCTTAATTCAGTAACAAGTTAAAGGTGATATACAATGAGAGAGAAATTATGAGTGTCTTTTTGAAGAGAGGTGAGCTCAGGTTAATTTCTTCCCAATAAAGAAAAGCTTGTCTCTATACCCAAAGGAGGGAGCTCCCTGCCCTACCCCTTGTCCTGAGCCTCTTCCCTCACCCAGAGATGCTGCACAGTGGCTGCTTGTGGCTTCTCACTTGTGAAACACCACTAATGAGAGCAATTTGTAATTGTTTTTGGTTGCCCTTGAGATCTTCAGGGAGGTTTGTTATTTTCCTGTGGCACTTTTCCCTAACCCCATTTCATTTTATTTGTAAGACTCTCCTGTGGAGCTCAGTGTCACTAGACTAGACTTTTCTTTTTAAAAGGTCCTCTAGCTTTGGTGAGAAGTTGAGATGTGTTTTCAGAATGATCTTTGTTAGGACAAGCGCCCCATCCAAAATCCAGTAGCATAACTTGTCCATTCAGAGTACATACATTGTCAGCCTTGTACTCCTCAGCCCATGGAAATATGAGGTCACATCTGCCATTTGAGGCGTTTTTTGGCAAGCCCAGGAAAAGTTATAACTCACCTTTCCATCCTAGGGCTTAAAAGTTGCAGCTACATGAACATTTTGGGTAAAAAAAAAATAAATAATCCACCTGCACTCATCTTGGCCCGAGGCTAGCTCTGTCCTGTGACCAGGCAGACACTCTTGGTTGGCACTTTCACAGGTTACAGTACTGCAGGGGAAGCTTAAGTTGGGAAAATAACTGTACACACCAGCATGTACGAACAGTTTCTTTAAAAGCAAGTCAGCCTTACCTCTGCCAGGTTAAAGGAACAGCCTGTTTTCCTGCCAGGAGACCTTATTCCCTTACATCAAAGACAACGTGAAGGAGTATCTGCGTGCTCACTGGGAGGAGGAGGAGTGCCAGCGGGATGTCGGACTTCTGAGGAAACAGGTTAAGTAACAGAGCTACACCGTGTCTCTCCGGGTTTTCAGGGCATGCCTGGGGCTTCAGGTCACTTGGACTCCCTCGGTCACCTAATATGAGCCCACGTCTCTTTGCCCCTCTCTGTGGAGGCTGCTTGCTTCAGTGGTCCGATTCTCCCCCTCCCAAAGCCTGGGGTTGTGCTCAGGGAAGGGCTGGTGCTTAGCAAGCAGCAGCTCAGCTGCTTCCCTCAGCTCACCTTGGTCTTCACAGCCCCTGGGCAACTGTCAAACCAAGACTTTTCAGATTTTTGCCTCCACCAAGCCCTTCTCTTGTTGAATACACATCTCTTTGGGAAGCAGTGTGGAGGGATGGCAGAGTACTTGTCCTGCACAGGGCAGCATATCCTGCCTCTCTACAGGGACACAGCATCAATTTGAGACCCGTGGCTGAAGCCAACAGACACATTCGCTTCTTTACCTAATTTCAGTAATTAAATACTTGAGCAAGTGTAATTCTCATTGGAGTATTTACAATACAGCTACAGTAATGCTAATTGTTTGGTTTGGAAAGTACAATCCAAGCAAGTGTTTCTAGAACTACCAAAGTCTGAATTTCCCATTGAGAAAAGCATCCAAACAATGTTGTAACCCCTTGCGTGAAGAGCGGTTCAAGCTGTGTCCTGCACAGAGATGCATGGATGCAGCTGTTAGACCACTTCCCTGCATTAAAGGTGTTGAAACCTCTCCACCTCTTCCCTCCCCTCTTTTTGTCATGGGTGGTTTCCAGGCTCAGGAGGACTCCAGCTTGGACGGAGCCGTGCCAATCCCTCTGGAGAGCGGAAGTGGGGAAGAGGAGCTGGAGCGGGTCATCCAGGCGGTTGTGGACAATGTGCACTGGCAGATGTCCCTGGACAGGAAGACCACAGCGCTGAAGCAGCTGCAGGGTCACATGTGGAGGGCAGCCTATGCAACTGGGCTCGTCAAAGGAGAGTGAGTAATTGTGTGAGTAATTGTGGGCCTCTTCCTGTGGGGCAGGTATGGGGTCCATCTTTCCTAGACATTTATTAGCAGAATAGCTGCATAAGCTGTTCCTAGGAAGAGCCCCACATAGAAATGCAAATAGGATCACTGGCTCAGTGGACAAGCCAATGTGTTTGCCTTCAGTCGTGGCTTAAGCCAGGCCACTGCTGTTGTGGAACCAGCTGCAGACACTTCATTTCAAACTCGATCATGCAGTAAAACTCAAATCCACTGAGCTCAGTCTTTGGATCTAGGCAACAAAGAGCTTACAGTAACCTAGGGACTGACCAAGTTATCTCAGTTCCCCCTGGGAAGAACAAGTAGGTGAGAATATTTCTCCTTAAGGAATAATTGGCAGATACGTGCTGGGGAACCGCCCAGTTATCCAGCAACCTGAGCAGGGTCCATAAACTAGACGGGGTCTGACCAAAAAAACAGGGTAATGGAAGCATGACACGGAGCGAGTCTGCTCCCACAGCTGGTGGAACATTGACTGGGGCCAACTGTATTGAAAAACTTGGAAAATGTCTCAGTATTTATCTAGAGAGACTTCTTGATAAACCAAGAGGCTAAAGCACAAGTGTGAACTTCTTACAGTTCTCCATCTTGCATTTTTTACCCCCGAGTTGCACTTGTATTTTGGAACAAGTATAAACAAGCCAGGGTTGCAGGGTCAAGTCCTTTCAGTCATTTCCTCCTGCTTTGTCTTTTACCTGTGTGTTTCCTGCCTTTCCACTTCTTTTTGTCTTCAGGTCCCTCTTTATGTTCCAGCCACAACACAACAGTGCATAAGTAGGGACAACTGCAGCTAAGCTTGATCTTCTTATTTAGGCTAAAAAATACTTGGTTAAACTATGCATTTCAAATTTCTAAGTAAGTAAAAGAAGCCCTAAAATTCACAGAGTGTTTTGTCAAAGGAAGAAAGAGGAAGAAGAAAATGAGCTCACCGAAAAGTGTAAATATCCACCAGAGAAAGTAACAAAACCCAAAAACAAGTGAAAAGAGACAGACATCCTGTTGGTTTTGTTCATAAGACAAGGCTAATTGTCTTTTAGGGACCCAAAAACTGTGTAGAAGGCTTTGTGCTTGGCCTCATCTAAGGAGGGAAGTCTCTAAAGTCTCCTCCTTGCCCAGCTATATGTGGCACATCAGTGTCTGAAATCTTGAACTTAGCACGTGAAAACACAAGGGTGGCTGGGAGTTTCTGCCATACAACCTCAAAATATTTTCAGCTGACACCAGAGACATTATTAAATAACCGTGGAAAAAAGTGAAAAGAAGCTAGAGATGAAGAAGGGGCCAGCTGATTGCTGCAAATCTGCAAAATTCAGTCCAACACCTCCTTTTGCACATGAGTCCTCTTTCTTTAGGCATCCAGATTCCCTTTTCAGGACAGTACCTTTGGGCCTTGGCCCAAGTGGCCACACAGAGCTGTGCAGCACAGGTGGGAAGGCTGCGGTTTGGACTGGGATCATTCCCTTGAGATCACATCTCCTCCAGCTCCTCTCTCCAACCTTCTACCACATCAGACTGAGATCCTTTCCCTACCTCTGTGAGGCTTTGTGGCCTTTCCTTACCAACCATCCCACATATTATTGAGGGACTTACTGTCAGCCTCACTTTGTCCCTCTTGGGCATCCTGTAGCCTTCAGTTTCCCCCAGTACATGGGTCATCTTCGAAATGTCCACACAAAGAACTTTTACTTACATGTGCATGGGGCACTGGAGAGATCTTGTGGTATAGATGAGAAGCAAAAACAGACATGTCCATTAGCAGTTGTCTTGGCTTTGGTCCTCCTTCCTTCTCTTACAGCTTTGCTCCTGTGCCTGGCTTGCCTTCAGGTGGCTACTCCCCAGAGTTAGATGGAGCTCACATTTTGAGGCTTGTCAGCCCATTGCTGGACCAGTATCTTCCTTTCCCAGCACTCTGCAAGGCCAAAAGAATAAGGGGAGGGATGCTGCTGCCTACAGAAGGAGGGCTGGTTCACCCTCTGTGTTGCCAGGGACATGTCTGGCCCATGGTAGTACTGTACAACTCAACCCAGTTGCTGAATAGAGTAGCTCTGACCTCAGTCCCTTAGGGGACACTCCTTCCCTGAGTTGTTGTCTGCCTTCAAAGAGTTTGTACAGTGCCATTCATTCGGCTCCTGCAGCTGCAGCCTTGTCTAAGCTCCCCCCTGTGCATGGTTGGGGCCTGAACCCACGCTGAGCTCTTAGCAAGAGGGAAGTCTTTGTTGCTTGCAAGGCAGGTGGGACTCAGAATGCAAAAGCCTGTCTTCTCTGTCCCCCACTTATTCCTCCCTTGCAGAGAAAAGTGATGGGATGCCATTTTCCCCAATCTTCCCTTCCCTTCCCTTCCCACATTGAAGGGGCTGGAGAAACTGCTGCCAGATGTCTGGAGCACTTCATCAAATTTGCTGTCTGCATAGCAGTCTGTGAGCTGCTCAGCTGGCCAGAGCTCAGAGTACATCACCGCTCCCTGGTTGCAGGGCCCCTGAACAGATTGAGAATGAAGTCCCCTTGCAAACTAATGGGACAGTTGTCACAGTGCCTGGATAAAGGTGTAACTCCAGGTGCCCCTGGATTTGCCCTTACCTGCCGTCCTGTTTTGCTCCAGAATCTTTGAGGACGTGGTTCCAGCCATCCGGAAGTGGCGGGAAGCGGGGATGAAGGTCTATATCTACTCTTCAGGCAGCATTGAAGCCCAGAAGCTTCTGTTTGGATATTCTACAGAAGGTGATATCCTAGAGGTAGATAACCTTACCACCTTCCTTACAGCTTCTCCCTCTGCAGAGCACTCCCCTCCCACAAGCCCCCTTGCTGTAACACTTGGAGAATGAAGTCTGGGACAGGAAGGTGGGGGAGTGGGTTTGACCCACGGGAGTTAAACTCACCCAGTTGACTCTGCTGGCATGGCTGCATCAGCCCCTGGTTCCCGTGGTAGAAAGGAAAGGGGAGGGCTCGCTCAGGAGTGAGGTTCAGCCCTGCTCTTCAGGAGGCATTCAGCAATGTGCTTCTCTCTCTCTTTCAGCTCTTTGATGGCCACTTCGATACCAAAATAGGCCCCAAGGTAGAAAGTGAGAGCTACAGAAGGATTGCTGCCAGCATTGGGTGCGCCACCAACAACATCCTCTTCCTGACGGATGTCCCACGAGGTAGGTGGCCTGCCAGTCCTGCTGGTTCTCACCTGTGCAGGGGAGGCAGGTGCTCTTTAAACATGTGCTGCTGACTTGTCCCAAGCACCCCAGAAATGCTGCACACCGCTTTGCTTCAGCACCTCCCCCCTAGCTGTTGCCATCCTCCCTCCTTACACACCCAGGCTTGCACGCAGTAGTGGGATGTCTGTGAGCAGCACTGCAGTGAGGGAAAATAGGTCAAGTAGAAAACCTGCCTTTGCACCAGCAAGCAAGGAGAGGCTGTTAAAGCGGAGCCCAGCATTTGCTGAAGCAGTTGGCATGTCCCACTTACAAACAGGGTCAGTGGTTTGACCCATGCTCAGGGGAACTGATGTAAAGCTGTGCTGCTACGTGGCACATGCTGGTGGCTGGTTCTTTGTGCCACTTATGGTTAGGTTGTGTTCAGCAGCAGGAAAACATTCCTCCTGGTTGCCAAGACTTGACCCCTGGAAAGCCAGGATTGGGAAGCTAATTTAATGGCTTGTCTTTGCTGGAAACATCTTTCTGGTAGAAATAGCACTGGGTTGCAATCTCAGTCTAAACCAACCCAGTCCCCAGGAGTCAGTCCTTACCTGCTCCCCAGCCCTCCCAGAGCTGCTGAGAACTTGTAGTTACCTCCTTTTCCCTGGATCACCTCCTTGGATTTCCTCTTGTACTCAGGGAGCAAAAAGAAGCTTGTAAGAAGTGACTGGGTTGGGGTGGGGTGTGGGTTTGACTCACTAACACCACAGCCTGACCACAGCCCACCTACCTTGTGACAGGAATCCACTGGAAGGTGCCTTGAACAGCCATCAGCTGGGAGAGGGGAGGGGATGGTGAGGCAGCCAGCTCCTGTCTGCTCATGTTACCTGGCAGCTACAGCCATCCACAGCAGGTCTGCCAGGAGCTGGTTCCTCTCTGGAGCTCTGCAGCACCACGTGCAAACTGTGCTTTCTCAGTCTTGACCTTTAAAAGTATTTCAGTGCTTTGGGGATCTTCAAGCCTTAAAGACCTTGATGTGAAGAGGTCGGTAAGCAGATCTCATCCCCACTCTCCCCACCTCTGTTTGTTTCAGAAGCCAATGCGGCCGAGGAAGCAGATACTCACGTGGCTGTGGTGATCAGACCAGGCAACGCAGGACTGACAGACGATGAGAAATCGTATTACAGCCTCATCTCATCTTTCACCGAACTTTACCTGCCTTCCTCCACCTAGGGAAAGCGGTGCACGCACAAAAGACTGTGCTTCACCTGAATTGTCCTTGTGAAACATTAGGTAATTTTGTCCATAATAAGAATTCAAAACCAAATCCGCATCATGTCTCGGACCCGCAACCAGTGCAGGCAGGTATGGATGGACAGTATGGTGTGGGGTCCCTTGCGCAGTAGGACGGAGGCCTGCTGCCAGCTGGAGCTGGGAACAGGGTGAGGAGCAGCACCCATGAGCCCTGCTGTTCCTCCCCTTTCCTGGCTAGCAGTTAGCTAAGGAGATGCTTCCTTCAGAGTCACCCACTGAAATCTGGTGCTGAGATGCCCCACCATGAGCTCTGTCATTTTTAGCAGCAGTCTGGAAGCAAGGTTTATGTCCCCTTGTCCCAGAGGGACCCCTGAGGACCATGAGGGGATATGATCTCCTCCCTGCAAATGGGGTTGCTGGCTAAGTCAAAACTTTCAAAGTTAGGATTCCCAAAGCCAACTGTGGGCTGTAATACAGTAGCTGACAGAGAAAAAGCCAGCCCTTGCTGCAGGCAAGCTCTTTAGATGAAGAACAACATATATCTTGGCTATATCTGCAGCAGGTCTAGGTACAAAACAGTACAACTTCCGTATGGAAGCTGCTTAGAGCTACACAGCCAGCCTACCAGAATGATGTAGAGTATATATAAGTATAGCTTTAAAAATTAAATTCTGGACACACTCCACTGCTGCATTGTGGTGCTGGGCTATAGGATATAACTGGCTGAACACCAAAGTCAGCTTGACTGCATTTCTGAAGTATCTCAGCACTAACCCATGGAGCTCCTCCTCAGTAGCCAACACCACCCAGTCACCCATTCATAGCACTGGTCAGCTGTGAGCAAACCTTGACAAACTGCTCCCAGGGGGGACATCCTGCTGCATTTAATGAGAATTAAAACCCTGACCTGTTCACCCTACCTAAATTGTGCCAATGTATATCAGATGGTCATGGAGCTTTTCCTAATATAGTAAATAAAAAAACAATTTGGCTTTCATTGTGTTCACTCCATCACAGTATTTAGCCTTCCTGTCTTATCACGAGTGATCCCAGTACTTAAAGGTAAATTTTTTATTTTTTTTTATAATCTGCAAACACTTTGTTGTCCTGCTTTCACCTTCCCCAGTCCTTTCTCTGAAGCAGCAGCCTTGTCCTGCCAAGGAAGCTGTATTACCTCACTGACCACTTTAGCTGGGGCTCAGTGGGGGTGCAGGAGTGAGAGCCACAGATAGGTTATACCTGGTAGGAGTGGAGACAGAGGCAGTCTGAAATCCCTGTTCCCTGCTGCTGGCACTTTGTGACACCTGGGTGTCACTTGCTGTGTATTGAGCACTGGTACTTGAGCTTGCCCTCCCAGACAGACAAAATACAGGATTAACATGTGTGCTGCCTTCCTGAGCTCTGATCTGCACCTACAGCTCTCCCTGTTGATGGAGGCTGCTGTGTAAAGGACAAGCAAGAGATGGGCATATGGGGAGGAAACCACATCATGCCAGCACTGCCCTTCTAAAACTTCGATAGTAGCAGGTCAGGCTGTGGGGCACCTGGTCTTGGATGCCTTTCTGGGCTGTGTAATCAGTGTGATCTTGCACCTAGAAAGAGCCAGCTAATTAGTGCTGTTACAATAAGTGTATCTGCATGGCTGAATAGTTCCTGGCTTCCTTAAATGATACTGTTAATCATTACACTGTAAATACTCACCTTTTGTTTTGCCTTTGCCGTCAGAAAGCTATGCTTGGGGTAGGGGACAAAAATAAAACTCACTTTCTCCATAAAAGCACTTTATTTAGTGGTCATGTTTCAGTGTATATCAGTTGTCACTTAGTTGTACTGAAATGTGCTGTTAGAAATACTCTAAGAAATGTACAGAGTTATCACTAAAAACCTGAAGTTCAGTTTGGATTGCATATAGGAAAAGGAGACAAAGGAAAAAAAATAATCACATCATCTTTTTTCCCTTTGATAAAATTACAAAATATAAAATGATAAACTGAAAGTATTAATTGATTAGGGAAACAAAAGTCACAGTGGACTATTTACAGTAAAACACCCTTACAACAAATTGCTGTTTTGTGCTCCATATGGATTGAGTGTGTGTGCCTATGTAAGAGGATCCCCACCTGTCCATTCTCCAGACTGTCTATGCCCAGGAGGAGCTCCCTGGATGAGCTGCTGGGGAGCCCAGCACCTTTCACTGCTGTGTCCTTGGGCCACCCTCAGCACATCCTTCCAGGAAAGCTTTCCACTAACAACACTGCTTCAAGGAGGAAGCCTTCAGCAATCCACATCAACCCTCTGTTGGCCAGAAGTGCTCTGGATTTATAACAGCTGCCTGAGAACAAATTTTGGTGCACAGAAGATAAAGGGCTGGCTGAAAGCTGTCTACTTACATTAGTTTGTCTCAACTATTTCTCCTTTCAGGAGAGGCCTCTGACCTTTGCAGAAGACTGCCCTTGTACCTTTTCCTGTCTTGTCAGAAATGCCACAGAGCAGTACAGTTCCCCTTCAAAGGCCTTTTCCTACCATATTAATTTCTGCTTATTTTCCTGCAGCTCAGACAAGATGCCAGCTTAAACTGAGTCAGATTTGGGGAAGAAAATAGGAGCCATGTTCATGAGAAGCAAGTCCCATCACTCCCCTTCCCAGCCAATACAGCAGCCTTCCCAAAATGAGGTTTTCAAATGAGCTTTGAGCTCTTGCTTTTTCTTTGAAAACAGACCTTCTGTTTGAAAACCTTCCTTTAGGAAGGGAGAACCCTGTCTGGTTTTGCTGTTCCCTTTTTTCACCTCCAGCCCTGAGACCACGACACCCAACCTCAGGGGCAGAACTGCCTCCCTGCACCTTGGAAGCCCATGTAAACCTGTGGCAGACTCCACTCAGGACAACTGATCACGCTGAGGGGTCCAGAACCCAGGCCTACTGTCAGCATGTCTGAAGTTTGGCTTGTAAGTGCACAAGGAGCAAAACCAAACCTTGTGTCCAGAACCACCTGCAGTCGTACTGTTCTCATTGCAGACAAGCCCAGCATCTCTAACACAATATTTTCCCCCTCAGTGAACAAAAAAAAAAAAAAGGCAAAGGTTTTGAAATACTATACACAATGTGTGGTGGAAGCACTACACACTTAGAAAAAGCAGCCTTTTCTGGGTCATCTTCAGAGCACACGGACATTCTCATCTTAATTCAGCACCTCACTTCCCCCAGTCCCCACTGTTGAGTCCGAGCCATGAAGCCAAGCACAGCACCCCACTGTGTCATCTCCTCTGGCCTGGGGATGATCTGCCCAGCTACGAGGCAGCATTGGCCAAGTCTTGCTTCCTGATCACAGCAGAGTTTCTTCCAAACCCAGATTTGCCATCAGCTGCTTTCCAGGCCCACAGAAATGCCTGCCTCCTTGCCAGAAAAGCCAGTTGGGGTCTTCCACGGTCTGATTCCAAATTCTGAAGAAACAGATGCTCTTTCTCACCCTTCCAAGTTACCCCAGTTGGCAGCAAAGAAAATTACTCAGGAAAGACATAAAAGATGCAGTCTGGTGACTCAGGAAGACTCCTGAAGACTCTTGGTGCCCAAAGAATTCTGCTTCCTTCACCTTCTCTGCAGAGTAGGCTCAGAAGGACCTGTCTCAGAGAGGCATTGCAAGGACTGGCTGTGGAACATTTTGAACAGCAGAGGTGTGACAGAGCCACTCAGTCCTCGGTAACATAAACTAAACAGCTTGTGCTTTCTCATGCTGCCACTGAGAAGGATCCGCTCCTCTTCCAGTGAATACCTATTTTTGTTTGGCTCTTAGTGAGACAGCCACCCCTCAGAGCCCTTTGGCAATACGATCATGATTGCACATGAAAACAAACTCATAAAAAAAGTGTAAATGAGGTTATGTTTAACCCATGAGATCACACCTGCCCCCCTCCCCCCTGCCAGAGGACAGGCTACACCTGATCTGTTTGGTACTCGGAGGCTTCTGATAAGCTTTCGGAAAAGCTCAGAAAGTTTTCCTGGTATTCAGAGCAAATGATCTCAAATCTGTAATGCCTGAACTCCACTGCAAAGGTGCCGAAGTAGCACAGGAAGCACATCACCAGGCCCCACTGGATCCTGGAAGCGTGCATGTGAATGCCCTGTGCCATGAGGATGAAATCTGGAAGAGGAAGGTCAAGGAGAACTAGTGGGAGCAGAGACACTGACCAGTATGAGAGAAAGCCAACAGGGAAGACAATCAAAGTCACACAGATGACAGTCAACCCATCCAGCCATCATGAGGAGAGTGTGAATGGGATGCCAGAGAAGAAAGGGATGTCAGGTGTCCAATGATGCCCATAAAGCACAGCAGCTCTCCTATACCAGGGCTTCCGGATCCCAGATCAGGCTGATAAACATTTTGAGAGGGAAAGATTTAGGTGCAGAGAAGTAAGTGCCTTGCTTGAGCATCCAACTAGCCAGGGACAGAGCCAGCAAGCTGGGGATCTGGCTGTGGACCTCCACCTGCCAGGAGCCTCCCAGTGGGAACTGGATCAGAACTCTGTACCACAGGCAGTGGGAACACCTTTCAACCTACACTGTGAAATCTTTCATTCTCTTTAGATCACCTGCAAAATCATCCCTTCCTTTGAAAACTGGAAGCATCACTCTACACAGTATGGCATGTTATACTGAAAGGGGCTGTTGGGGCCAGAAACTGTCCTCCAGGCTCATGTGCCCATGTGCTTGGACTGCATATTGCCTGGCATCAGGGTCTCACTGCCGTGCCTTGGATTGTGTTTCAGCACTCCATAAAAGCAATTCTGAGCTTCCCTAAAGCAGAGGACACCTTCCTGAGCTGAGGACCTGCCCTAGCCTGATGCACATCTCTAAACCTACTGTCTCCCACGTCTGTCAGGATTTCCTCAGCACTCCAAGTGTGCAGGATCACACATCTTCACAGGTAAAACAAAAACAAGCAGCCTCTCCCTTGCTTTAACTGCACAACAGCAGGTAACTGGAGACTCTTCATCTTGGGCTTAGTGTAAGCAATGAAAGCTTCACTTCAGCAAACAGCTTTTTGTGTCTGGCTTTAAGGATCTACTTTTCCTGTAGTGCAAGGATTACGCACAAACTGCATGGAACAGGGAGCCAGCCCTGGCCATTGCAAAGCTGGCGGGAGGGTGCGGAACGGGACTCCTGCCTCAGCCTGCCCCCCTTCACAGAAGGCCTTCAGTGCCTCAGTGCTGAGCAGCCAGCTGGGAAGGGCTGGGAAGAGCTGTAGAGGGCTGGGCACACCCAGCGTGTCAGTACAGGAACAGCTATGCCCTGGCTCACTGGGCTGCTCCTGCTCCCGGCTTAGCGGAAACCTCTGGAGACGTCAGCGCAGCCGGAGCTCCCTTTGTGCAGCCCTACCCCAGATACACAGTCAGGAGCTACTGGCTTGAGGCAAGGGGAGGAGGGGAGCACCACAAGAACCATGAATCTCCCACGTTATGTACACCAAAGCCTGACGCTCAGCTACAAATTTTTTCAAGGAAGCTCAAGGGGTGACTGATGTCACATCTTCATGTCAATCTGCTATTCCTCTGGACACTGGCTGGAATGTTCAAACCCAGACAGGTCAATAAGGAACTGTTTTAAGAACAGGCTGTTCCCCAAAGAGGGGGATAAGCTTATTCCTCAGCATTTATTCCTGCCCTCTTGTTTAACCCAGCGCTAATGTTGATGCAACTATGCATTGAATGGATCCACCCCAAATAAACACCCAGAGCATGTCAGTGCTGGTGCAAACAGAAGGGCTGCAGTGGGGCTGACAGGCACAAGGTGTAGAGGAAGCCACACATACATCCAGTTTGAGTGACCACAGACCCCACAGCCCAAAATCCCATTTGTAAAGCACTTAGTTTTAACCTGAAGCCCATGTCACCCAGCAGCTCTTGACTGTGATAACTGTCTTAAAAGGCAGAGCTGGATATAGCACTCTGCAGCATTTCAACAAACACGTCAAAATCTTTTCATCTTCAGAAACCCAATTTCTTCCATTGTTCCTTTGTTCTCCTGGGAATTTTTATCTCAATATTTTGCATAGTCTTAAATGCTACTGTGTAGGTTAAGAGTGGTGCCATTAAATCGCACAGATACTATTCAATATTGTAACCACTTTGGATATCACTAACTAAGAAGCTTTGGAAACATTTATGAAGAAACTGAGCCCTTCTGTGAAGCAGTGCATCCTGGTGAAACACAAGTAGCAAAATGAGTCAATCATAGGGTAGTGCCATGAAGACAAACTGAGTAGCATTCCTAAATTGTTTGAGATGCTAAGGCAGATGTGGGAAGAGCCAATGTTCCTTGCTGCAGAAAGCGTTGGACACATACGATACCTGGATTCCCAGGGAGCCAGACAAAAGGATACAGAGCACCACGCAGAGGGTGATGCTGGCTGAGAGAGCAACTCGTGGAATCCCGGCTTTCCGCCCCTCATTCTTCAGGTTGATCTTGAGGGTAAGGGCAGACTGGATCCAGCATGCCAAGGTTCCAAAGCCAAAGGTCAGCGATGTGCCCACATTGTGGATCTCCTCATCGTTGGAAAGCTAAGAACAAACAAAACGGTGATTGTTTGGGCACCACAGGAATTATCTGATAGCTAATTGGATTGCTGCTGAGGTGGGATGAGGGAGAGTGAGAATCACTGAGGTGTGAGGCAGAGATGCTGTATCATTTCTTCTGGCAGAGGTGTAAGGTGTAACATAACCAAGATGAGCTGACAGCTGTCACAGTTGAGCAGATCACCTGCCCAAAGCTCAAGCACAGTGGAAAATGCAGTTGCTTGGGGACTGCCTCCACAGCTCCCGGACAAGACTCACAAACGCAGAACTCCGAAATAAATCCTTCCCTGACTCAAAGCAATGGTCGGGGCAGGCAAGGACAACCCCCTGGGTCTTGTACAGCTCCTTGGAATGGATGCAAATTGTGCAGTCTTCAGTGCCAGCTGCAGGGAGCAGTGCTGCCTGGGGCAGTGGGTAGCCAGAGCCCTGACACTTCCACTGAGCTAGCACATGCCAAAACACAAGTACATGCTCCTGCTTTGGCAAATTTCTGCAACCAAATTCCCTGTCCTGCCCATCCTTGACCATAGGGGTCTGAGGCAAATGAACCCAATCTCTCTGGAGTGCAAGTGCTTCTCTGTTCCTTGGGCTGCCATGTCTCACAGGGCACAGTGACTGTGCAATACTGCAAGGCTAAAAGGCAGCCAGGTTCAATAAGCAAGAGTCTGCAAAGAGACCCCTTGAGGCTGCAAATCCATTCACCAAGTCCAATATTAAGCCAAACAATTTCCCTTTCCCCTCTGCCTCTGAGGCTTTTTCAGAAAAAGAAACCATCCGTCTGTAATTTCTTTCTGCAGCCTCAATTCCTGTTCGGTGATTTTACAAATCCCTATCACATAAGACACAATCTACAGGATAACAATCTTGGTGCTGTGCCTCTATTGATCCTCTCCTGTCTATCCTGAGTTTTTTCCAAGGGTAGGTCCAAATCATACTACAGCAAAAATAACATTGACTTGCCTTTCCCAAGGTAATCTGCACTGCAAAGGACTCACAGTTACAATGTTCCTCTAAAACAACCAATCTGTAATTTTCCAGAAATATGATTTAATGCCACATCCATCTTAGCAGTCAGCTTAGCACGGACTGAGTTCTCATTACCACATGCTTTCATGTCTGGCAAAAGATCTAAGCAAGGATATAGATGACTAACACGGAGTGGATAATTAGTTCAGGATTTATAACCTGGAAGACCAGGTCCATAAAAGTCAAATTATCTCACACCTCATTCATAAGGAAAAAAGAAGTCAACTGTAAAAGACACAAAGTTCCTGCAATTACTCTATAACCCAAGGGGGTACTCGCCCTTTAGAAAACAAGTACCTTTTCATATTGGCTCCCTGTCTGCAAAGCGAGGAAAGCAGCCTACACTGACCTTTCTCAGTTCCTGCCATTACTGGGGGTCATTACTTGCACCCCAGTGAGAGGGAGAGCATCAAGAGTCAGCAAAGGGATGGAGAAACCCAAGTGCCGCTGACTTGAGCGCCTTGATTTTCACTGCAGACCTAACAGACACACCCGTGAACACAGTGGACATCCATCCCTACAGATGTGGTAGATCTTTGTTTGTATAATGTTGCAAAGATCGAGAATGGGAGGGCCCTCAGCCAGGCGCCCATCTCCTCTGCCGTGTCCCTCTCCTGGCAGGTCTAAGAATCAGCAGGAAGCAGATTTAAAGCAACATATATTTTAAACGAAGGACACTGAACTGTCTGCTAAATCTGTATGGGCAGCTGTGCATCTGTTCACACAGATGCGCACGTAAACTTCCTGCTCCATCCTTTTACCCAGGACCATCTGTGCCAACTCCCAGGGCTCAAGAGATTCAAGAGGTTCCTGCTATGGCTCTGGACAGGTCAAGTGTAAGCACGCAGGTGAAAATCCTGCTGGAAACACAAGAAAAATTATTGTGGCCCTTCATCTCAGCATGTCACTGGAGCCACGTGAGTGAGTGGCAGACAGAGGTGGCAGAGCAGGTACAAAGAGGGCTGGGGCACAGCCAGACATGTTATCTCCTGAGCTCACATCACAGGTAGTTCAAAGACCTAAACAGATCTACGGGAAAAGCAGGAAACTCACATCACAGACAGAGCGGTCCAAGCCTGCAGTGCAGTACCTGAAAGTTGCCGAGTAGGGTCATCCCAAAAGAGGCCAAGCACAATGCCACCAAGCCGCTGACGTTCAGCCAAGGGTTTAGCACCTTTGGCTTCAGCTGAATGAAGCGCAGGACAGCCACAACAAGCGCTGAGAAGGAAACAGAATGCAAGGTGCGTCATTAGGTAGAACCTGCTGCAGTGAACAGCTGGCTGGGGGCTCTCAGATCCCTCCCCATCTCTCTGTACCCAGAGGGCAGAGTTCACTGCAGGCCAGCTATCTTAGTGCTTCTGCATGGCCCCCTCCCGCTTAGTCAGGGACGAGACTAAAACCAGGGGGCATTTCTCTTGTAGTCTGGTTACACTGAGCTCCAGGCTTCCTGTAGTCATGATGTTTTGTCTAGGAGCTGGGTTGCAAATTTTCTGGGGGAAAGAACACCTTCCTGTTTGCCTGTGAAGCTCCCAGCACACAGTCTATCACATAGACACCATGCATTCATTTTGTGGCAGCTGGGCTTCCATTGTTTCACTCCATTGTCAAGCTCTCCTGGGGGAGGTATGTCAAACCCCACTTGTATTAAAAACATATGAATGGCACACACATACTTCTGCAGGTTTTACCATAATGCCCACTGCCTCCTCTCCTCCTTTGGAACAAGTTTTGTTGCCATGAACATAAGCCAAAATACTGCACTAATTTTCCATGAAGAACAGAACAACAGTCCTTCCAAGGTTACAATTACCCCAAGTGCTATATGATACATGATAGATACGATACATGATACATCATATGATATTACACAACCCCAGAAGATATTAAAATTGTATATTCTTCCCCTCCATAGGGAATGCTGTATGGAACAACACAGAAAGCCAGGCAAACTGTTGGCCTTCAGAGGGGATTAAAACCAGACCACTAAACAGCTATTTAGTTGAATAGGCAAATTTCCTGGTTGCTGTCAAACACCTTCTCATGCTCATGCTCAAACTGATAGCATGCAGGTCATATTGTTGTAAATCGTTTGCCTTAGCAAATTAGATCTGTATTTTCCACAAAACCCCTGGTATAATACCAAAAACATGGTTTAGGAAAATAAGAGCACTGTAAGTGAAAAATACCCACTTTCATGCAAACAGCAAATGATGTTTCAATTTACTCTCTTACAATTTTCTCTAGTAAATAAATCTACTCCAAATCCTTGAAAACAAGAGAACTCTGTTCCCCTAAAAACGGGGATTTCTTTTTTTCATCCCCAGCTAATTGTTTGGGACAGCCACCCTGTGACTACTTGAGCTCACATGCAGGAACTTTTTAATTTCTATTCCACAGTACAGAATCCTGAAATTATGTGATTGTTTTCTAAAATTTGATGGGAATTACAAAAGGGAATTAAAAGCATTTTGTGCAAAACAATGGCATTCTCAATTTCAGTAATTCCTACATTTCTAGCAGGTTTCTGTAGTTTTCCTCTCCTATAGCTTTGACATAAGTAAAGTGGCCAGAGGTACAAGCTAAAAGGAGCTCTTAGAAGCACACAAATACAGCAGAGGAAAGTTTGACTTTATCCACAAAGCAGAGATTAGAACAGAAGAAACTATTTCTGTTGGAAGGGATCCACAACAATCATCTCATCCTACTGCCTGACAAATTCAGGGCTGACCAAAAATTAAAGCATATTATTAAGGGCACTCTCCAGATGCTTCTTAAACAGTGACAGGCTTGAGGGATCGACCACTTCACTAGGAATCCTGTTCCAGTGTTTGACCACTCTCTCAGTAAAGAAATGTTCAGTCTAAACTCCCCCTGATGCATCTTTGAACCATTCCATTGTGCCCTGTCACTGGATCCCAGGGAGAAGAGATCAGCACCTCCCTCTCTCTGTCCCCTCCTCGGGAAGCTGGACAGAGCAATGAGGTTGCCCCTCAGCCTCTTTGCCTCCAAACTAGACAAACCCATAGTTCCTCATAGGACATTCCTTCCAGCCTGTCCACCAGCTTTGTAACCCTCCTCTGAGCACATTCAAGGACCTTCACAGCCTTCTTAAGTTGTGGGGCCCAGAACTGCACATGGTATTTAAGGTGAGGCTGCACCAATGCTGAGGACAGTGGGATAATCACCTCTTTTGAGGGGCTGATTGTGCTGTGTTTGATGCACCCCGGGATGGGGTTTGCCCTTTTGGCTACTGGGGCACACACTTCTGACTCACACTGAGCTGCTGCCGACCAGCACCCCCAGATCCCTTTCTGCAGGGCTGCTTTCCAGCCACTCTTCTCCCTCCCACTCCACTCTCTTGAGCCCAGAATTACTCCAACCTAGGTGCAGGATGGAGATTCAGACTTGTTAAATTTCATCCCATTAATCACTGCCCATTGTTCCAGTCATCTAGATCCCTCTGAAAGGCATCTTGTTCCTCAAGAGAGTCAACAAGACATCTTCGTTTGGTATCATCAGGAAACTTGCTAATGGTGCCTTCACCTCCTGCATCCAGATCATTGATAAAAATATTGAAGTGACTCAAGGAACTGGGCAGCCCAAGGTCCATCAGCATTACTAGAGACTGAGGAAAAAAAAAAAAAAGGCATTGAATGCCTCCACTTCTTCTTCATCCCTATTAGTCAGGTTACAAGTCTTCAACAAGTATCCATCCAATATTTTCTTTAGATCTCCTTTTGCCACTGACATACTTACAAACACCCTTCTTGTTGTCTGAAACTACTCTGGCCAGTTTCAAATCTAATTGAGCTTTTCCCATCTTCTCCCTGCACATACAACCCACAGCTCTGCAATCTTCCTGTGAAGCCTGACCTTCCTTCCACAGATCATACACTGGCTTTTTCCTCTTGAGTGCCACAAGGAGTTCCCTGCTCAGCCAAGCTGCTTTTCTGCCCCACTTCTTGACCACAATCCCATGCAGTGGGATTGCCTGCCCTTGTGCTTCTAAAAGGTGGTTCTTAAGGACTGACCAGCAACTGTGGAGTCCTAAGACCTCAAAAGCAGATTCCCAGGGTATTTAGGGGAACCACTCTTGTCCTTTTTTTTCATTAGAGCAAAAATTCTAAACCATTTACTGATCACCATGGCCAAGGCAGTCACCTACCATCTTATCTCCCATGACACATTTGCAGTCTGGAGGTTATATTTCCCTTGTTATATTTCTTTTTTGCCATGGGAAGAAGCAGCAATGAAAGTGTACAGTTTACATCATCACATTCTGGAACAGTATGTATGGGATATTACTTATGTTTCAGTGACTCTTAAACTGAGAAAGAAACATTCCACTGGTGGTTCCTACCTAGAAATGCCGCCATGTTCATGACTTGACTAAACACACAGCTTGCAGGAGGTGCATCACCTGCAATACTTGAAAATATAAAGTGTGTCATTGTAACTCTAGGAAGGTAAAGACACATAGATAACAACCATTAATCAGAACGGTAACTGGAAGAAAATAATTCACTTACCTTATATAAGGTGGTCTTTTGGGACCAGGTTTCCTAAGAGACATAGGCATAGGAATAAAGATTTAAGGTTTTCTTTTCCGTTTACCTTTAATTGTTTTATTATTTTATAGAAACAAGTGATTGAATATAAAGCCACAACCAGCTCTTACCTGTCTGGTACATTTAGTGGGAGAATTTTATTATCTTCCACTGCTATAAAGTACCTGTCAAAAAGAAAGAAAAAAAAAAGATGAAAGTAGTGTAAAACCTCATCCTGGCTTTCATTCCAAATATCACCCAAACAACACATTAAGTGTCTCAAAGCTCCCTGGCAGGATCTGCTGGAGGCAGCCTGTGCTTCTCTCTGCTCAAGCAGGCAGTTTTGCTTATTTTCAAGCCTAGCTATGTGCCTTCCTTTGTGTTGCATCTGGTTTGCAGGTCAGGTAGACAAACAGGGTCACTGAACTGAGCTGCCTTAAAAGTAATCAGCCAAGGCAATGTTTTCATTTTTAATTTGAATAATTTGATTCATCAAGTTTACCATGGTCCTCCTTCCACAAAAGCTGTTTTAATACAGAGGGGATGGGACAAGAAGAACAACAAGCAATAGAGGTCAGACAAAAGGCTTAAGCTGCCCCTGCTGCTGAAAAACAACATCCACAGACCATGGCCAAAGCCACATCTTACAACATAAATGCTTCTCACGCTGAGCATAGATGCTAATCACACATTTATTGCTCTCAAATTCATGCTGCAGTCATCTGCCTGCATGCTTGGAGAGAGTCCAGCTCAGGGAAATGCATGTCTTGTGTGCATTTTGGTGAGAAGTGTTAGGGAGAAAGTGAAGTGTCAGCATTAAGCTGCTGGCAGGTTCAGTGCAGTGCTGGATGCTGCAGATTTTGAGTTTCCACCCCGAAGCAGGGCCTAAGTGTTTCTCCAAGAGGTCTGCTGAGTCATTCAAAGAAAACACGTTTAAAGGGAATTTTTGCATTTTTGTCTATCTCATTTCAGGCAGCTCCCAGGAACATCTGCCAGGAAGAAGGCAAGGTCAGAAGCTTGGCCTGGAGAGCATAGAAACTCAGAGATAAAAAATGTGATCCTCCAAGCCATGAACTGGCACAGACTGGTCCCTGCCCCTGTTGTGTGCCTTCCCAGCCCCACAGTAACTCCAGGACACAGCATCCCCAAAAGACTTTCTGTACTGAGACGCAGCCCACACCTCAGTGGTACTTCTGACTGCCCCAGCCTGACTTGCTCTCCCAAATAACCATCAGGAGAAAACTTACACTATCCATAATCCAGCTGATGTAAACAGGGTAAAGACAAGAGGTAAAAACATCCACACGCTGCATTTCTTCCCATCCATACCTGCTAGAAACAAAGAACAAAGTAAAAACAAAAGAAAGAAGAGGGCAGAGGTACCCACCCACTTTGGCACCCCTCTTTTGAAAGCACAAAGAGCATCCACACAGAAGGTGACAAAGAATCAAGTTCCTAATGGCCACTGCAAACCTTTCACACTGTCACTACTGGCACAAGGGGTTAAGCTCCTGCATACAGGCAGCAGCATCCACAGGGTGCATAAAAACCAGGGCACAAACAGCCTGGGGCTGTGGAACGGGAGACTTTTCAGACACACCTACAGAATTTGAGTGGTTTTTCAAAGTATTTTTCCTGAGCATTTTGCACAAGGTGACACCACAAGACCCGCAGCCCTAATTCCCTACTACTTCCCACTGGCACAAGGCAAAGCAGCCTCCTACCCAGGATCATCACCAATTCCACACGATGCCCCAGCAAAGCCTGCAGCACGAGGAGAGAAGGATGCACGTGCTGTGTCATAATCTCACAAAGCACAGGACCAGCTCCCATCCTGGCCACAGCAATCAGCTCCACACCCAGAGTGGAGCCAAGCTGATTGCCGGCACCCAGAGTGCTGTCAGGAGTCAGGATGAGGCGTTTCAACTGGATGCAGGCACTGTGAAATCCTGCATGTGGCGTAAGGATGCTGCGTACACCACCTCCCGAGGAAGCATCTGTCCTCCAGGCAAGATCACACTGGGTGAGCATCTGGAATGCCAGGGCTGTTCCTGTAATATGTGCCATTCAGAAATGCTGCTGTGTTGCTGTGCTGCAGACACAGAGAGTCCTGTCTCCCTGTGAGTCCTCTGACAACGGATCAAGTATTTCCTTATGCTCTGTCCTCCTCCATACATGTCCCTCCCAGCACTGGCACAGCCAAGAGACACAGAGAGTGACCAGCACGAGGCTCATGGCTCCAGCACCTGCTTTACTTTCCCCAGAGCAGCAGTACCTGTGCCCCTGCACTCTGCTTCCCTCCCATAGCCTGCTGCAGGGCAGGCATTTCCTGGGGTCACCAAGGCCCACATGGGACAGCGAGGCACCCTGGGGTGCCAGGGCAGCTTGGAGATGATGGCCTTTCACTAAAGCCTGCTTGTATTTGCAGCTTAATTACCTCATCCAGGTAAAAGGTCCTTAAAGCAACGACTCTCCCCTTTGCCCCAGAGAAGAAAGTGCCCATGCTGTTGTCCTCCTCCTCTCAGCTGCCCTGGCCTTCCTATATCTGCAGCACAGGAGCCATGGTCTTTCTGGGCTGCTGCCTTGTCTCTCCCCACTGTGAAGACCCACAGAAGAGAGTAAGCACACCCACCATGCCACAGCACCCCCCAGCTCACTGCTCCCCCAAGGCAGCCCCCACCTGCAAAGGCAATGCTGGCTCGACTGCTCATGGCCCCAGACACCAACTCCCTCTCTGCCTCATAGTGACAGAGGCTGAAGGAATAGAGGTGAGGCTCCCCACACCCTTTAGAAGGCATGGCAGCCTCACACTTGCCTCTACAGGTCAGCTGTCTTATTCTCCCTGCAAATTGCCTAGCAGGTGTACAAAACAACACCCTGGCAGTACCCTGAGTCACACCACACTTGCACAAAACCATGAGGCCATGATTTGGTGCTGCCTGTATGGATAGCCTCGAGTGAGGCTGAATTCCAAACCTCAAAACACAGAACAGCAATCAGATAAGGTCTCTTCCCTGACCTGAGAGCAGAGAGAACTGCAGACAGGGACCATGAAATGATGCAAGTATTAAGTATGTCGATTTAAAAGGCAGTCAGCTCCAGTGTGCTTACAGATCTTTAGCACGGTCTAACAGATCAGAAGAAATTATCGATGAGGGGGGACTAAATTTCCACACCAATCTCACCTCTTTTCCTCTCCTCCCACACAGGAGACACAGTGTTTCACAGCTCTGTTCCCGGCACAGCCCCCGCCGCAGCGCTTCCAACTATTCCATGAAGTGCTGCCCTTGCCTTTTCCTCCCACCGCTCACCAGCAATGCAGCAGCATCCCTTAGCTGGTGTTGGACATTACTCTAGTACTGGGAGCCCATGCCAGCAATGTCAAAGACTGCTTCCAGGTGGCACCTGCCTCACCTGTGTCCCTGATGGACCCTGGCAGCACAGTGCCCAAGTGCCAGTGCCCCACACAAGAGAGGCATAACTGTATCCAAGTTCCCCACTCCTGCCTTGGCTGAAGGAAGCAGGCAGGTAACATCACCTCCAGTTACAGCCCATATTTCCTCTGCAAGGTAACTACTGCCATCGATTCTCCTCTTTTCTCTGGTGGTGGCTGGACTAAGCCAAGGTAACACAAATCTTTCAGGTCAGGGGATGGCACATCTTATTGTTTACCCTTCCCCTTTGGAAAGGTACAAAAGATTCATTTACGCAATAAAAGTAAATAGCAGCCATAACACCTGGCTTCATTAACGGGTTGCCACAGCTCCTCCACCTTCCAGCATGCCTCCCAGCCAAAAAACAGCAGCCTTCACAAGCTATTTCAGCATTGTCTGTCATGCAGAGAGGGAGGTGGCACGGGACTTTTCCCTCAGGTGGAGCAGCCAGGCAGCACATAGGGACAAGGACTCCACACCAGAACGAAGTGGGGAAATATGAAAATACTGTCCAGATAACCTGTACTCTGTGCGGAGCTCTAAAATGGAGCAAGGCCAGGACTAGTGCCCAACCTCATCAAAGTCAGAGCAACACGGATACAGATTCACTTCCTTGGAAAACAGCCCTGTGTTTAATATTCACTGTGCCACACAGAGTCCCCTTCCATCAACCACTAACAGAAAATGACATCTGAAATCATTGCATATTAAATGAATGATCAGCACGGAGCACAGTGTCCTGATGGGAAGCCAGGTCCATAGTTCAGAGGAACACATTCATTTCAGCCAGTTAAAAGGAACCACCTGGAGAAACAGCCCCCCCAGCACACACCTCATCACAGCCAGTTGGTTTGCACTGAGGAGAGAGGACAGCACTCCCAGGGAGAACAAGGACCTGTGTAGAGCCAGGTCTTCACCAGAGCTCAGTGAACACCTTTCAGTGCTGGCCATTGGCACAGCCCAAACATGCTTGAATATGCTTTAGCATCCCCATGTCGGCAGAGGATGGTTTAAAACCAGGGCTCAGCTCCTGCAAATTTCTCATTTACTCCCTGCTGTGTTACTCAGGTCCAGGAACAAGACTACATGTAACCTCAGCTTCTTCCAAAGGAGAAACCATGCCATGTGCCAAACCTGCCCAGCTTTGTATTAGTGTTCAGCAGATATTCTCAGCAGTTGCCTTTGGTTTAACCCGTCCTTTTCAGGGATGTCCCCAGTGTTTGTCTCTTCGAGCTGGGAGATCATGCAGACTAAGACCAGCACCTCTAACAGCAGCCAGGACAAGGGAATGAGGAACCCAAGCATCAGCCTCCTCTGCAACACCACAGCAAATGGTTTAGACAAAGTAAAATGCCAAGAGCAATAGGAAAAATAGCCTAAATTCTTTGTGGGAAATGTAGAAACAAATTCTTTGACAGTTAATTGCTCCACAGGGATGACATAAAGCCAACCTTCCTCTCCACAGCTCTGTTCTGCATTGTTGACATGACCAGTGATGCCAAATCTGAGCAGTCAACTCCAGCTGGCAATAACAGCCATCTCTGCCAGCCTGTGTTTTCCCAAATAAACACACTGTGACCAAGAGGCAGTTGGTAATTGCCCACACCCATTTGTCTTCCATTTTTAAGGCTTGCACAGGAAGGCCTTCAGCAAAGGAAGGCCTTCAGCAACAGAAATCCCTCATGCTGTAATGGATTCACAAGACTAATAAAAATGTTTTCAACTTCACAGCTGACCCCAGCCAGAATCAGCCTACCTTCTCAAAAGCTGACACGGTGGTTTTCCAGTCCCTCTTGACACACGTTCTCACACCAGCATTGCAAAAACCCTGTCGAGGTGCACTCCTGATGCCAGCTAATATGGGTCAGAGTCCAGAACTGCAAAGGGTTTCACATTATCACAGCCCCGGCGTTTGCCTTGAGAATTTCTCTTAATGCAGGCTTACTCCCTTATCTCCAATTCCATTTTTATGTCTAAATCTGCTCAGACTGTCAGCTGTTTGCTCTGCTTATATTACCACTGCCCCACTAGGCACCCTCAACCAATTAAGCTTCCATTCCTCTAATGTACACACTTCAATTACAGCAGGCAGCTCACCAAACATATACTGCTGCTTCATCAAGGTTCATTTAATGTGGACATCTTAATTTCATCTGCCAAGCAAAGTTACAGGCTCTTCCTGAAGCTGCTTTCACCAGAGAACACGAATGTAAGGAAGGACAAAATTACCATATTAACATACATCTTTTTTAAGACTAAAGCATCCAGATGCATTTCAAATGCATAATAAGCCAGAGCAACTCTCCTGCATTTCACAGCACAAGGCCACCGAGTTATTTCAGAGAATAGATACAAAGCCAGAAGCACTGGGAGAAGGAGGACACTGTTCAAAACATAGAGCAAGTCATAAAGAATTGCTGCCAGTCAGGAACAATCAAAGGGGAACAAACACAATTTGTCTTTTGGGGGAGCCCACTATAGCTCTCTGTTGCTTTTGAAAGCAAAAATAACCACAGTCACTTGATACCTAATCACTGTAAAAGAGTGGATACAAACCAGCACATTACATAACCTGCCACCCACAAGTCACAAATGCCAACATAACAAAGCAGAGCATTTTCAGGTTTATCTCAAGGTTCGAAGCGTGAGCACACAATGAGAGAGATAAGACTTGACAGAGTCTTGTAAATACATAACAAAATGGTGGGGTAACAGGAAAAGAAGTGATCCCCTCTGTCAGCAGAGTATGACGTTCTGCTTGCTCCGGGTACCCGCCTACCGTCTCACGGATGTGCAGAAGTGCCATTTTCATTTATTTATATGAGAGGAATGGGAAAAGGTAAAGACATCTCTGGGTTGTGCATGGGGGAAGCAGGAGATGCTTCAGTAACCCTGCAACGATGTTGAGAGGCAATGCTTTCACCCACGGCAACATCCGTGCATGTTTCTTGTCTCGTCTCACACACTGAATGCGCTCAGCGTGCTAATGAAATGCTCTGGCCAACATAAACCTATTGGACATAGGAAATTAAACCTTCTAGCCACCAAAAAGCAGGGGGCAGAAAAGGACATATTATTATCCACTTGCCTATATTGCCCCTCCAAGTTTCCCCCAGGCAGCTGTCTCCTGCAGTTGTGTACAGTTAATCTGTTATCAATTCTCTAAATACATATATACTTACATATATATATATATATATATATATCCTGAGTGCCTTGGTAAGAAGACCATGCGACTGACAGATTGTCCAACCCAGAGATACCCCTGCAGCACTGCTGGGTCCCTACTGTCCTTCAAGAAGTGCCCTCAGTATTCTGCTTCCTGCTGCCACACATGAATACTTACAGGCCATTTAGCAACCAGTGCTGAACTGCTGTGTTACAGGCAGAGACATCGACTGTGGACTCTTCTGGGCTGGCTCTGCCCCTCTCGCATCTGGCGTTGTACAGACCAGGCTCACCCCGCTTCAAGGTCACGTTCCTGGATGTCATAAAAGAAAAATTAACATAATTTGCCACCATAGGACCAAAGGGTTCTGCAGGCTTTGACAGCGCTGTGCTCTGACCCATGCACCTACATCAGCCCACACTGACTTCCATGAGGCCCCACTCATACCATGAGCAGGGCTCGGGCAGTCGTGGCCCTCAGACTGCAAACAGGCCAAAGGAGGCAGGGCAGGAGCTGGGTAAGGCAGAAGGTACACATCCAGTTCAGATGGAAAGAGCTGGGTCAGCAGACAGTGAAACCAGCCGGGAGCAGCCAGGGTGAGGAGCTGAGGAGCACTACATTTTGCAGGTGCTGTTTGTCTGCTTGCCCCAGGGATCCCATTCTGCCTGGGAGCACCCACTGCAAGATTCAGCCATTCTGGCTCCTCATGACCTCAGGGGCAGGTGGCAACCAGTCCCCTGTGAGTGCTCCCACCATGTGTTGGACTGCCCACATCCCAGGGCAGATGCCTTACCACCTCTCCAAGGGCAGATATTGAGGAATATACACAGTGCCAGTAGCTCAGTGTGCAGCTGCAGCATGAACTGCAGGTTGTGCCCTGGGTGGGGGGAATGGCTGGAGCCCCAGGCAAAGGGGCTGTGACCTGGCACCAACCCTTTGCCTGACAAAGGGCACTGGGACCTGTGGTGCTGGCCAGGGATGGCCGGTCAGCCAGAGACTCTGTAGGTTCCAAATAAACAGTGAGAAGACCCCAGACTAAATATCACAATTGGAACAGGCTCACAGATTGTGAGGATATAAAAGCACAAGGGGTCCCTCCCCGGAGGCACCAATTCGAGCTGTTTCTGTCCAGCTATTACTGCAGAATGATTCCATTCTTTAAAGGATCCAGAGATCTGGGACTACGCTATAGGAAACTTGGGGTCCAGGCAGTGAGGAAAACCTGTCAGACTGTCTGAGTGTGGAGTGTGTAGGGAGTCAAGCGAGACACCACTGGGTCACTGGAACTGCCCATTGTGAAGGGGCTTCGTTCCCAGCACTGAAAGTCTCAGGTGGTGGGAGTGTGACTGCCAGAGTGGCTCCTGGATGGTCAGACAGGAAAGTTTCCCCAATACAGAGATGCTCAAGACTGGTCCGCTTTCACCAGACTTCTGAGACGCAAAGGAAGTCTCTAGCAGTCTCAACACAGACCAAACCCCATAGTCTCTCACCACTGCCACCACAAGGGCATATTTTTCCCTTGCCCAATCCTTTTGTTTGGGATGTTTATGAGAAGAGCACTTACCCCAAAGTCCCAGCCAAATCCCAAAGTGAAGAGTTGACGGAAAATGAGGAGGATAATTAATCTCCTCAAAAAATTAAAGACAGTAAAGCTCTCCCTGCTTCAGCTATGCAGTGAAGAAAGAGTCTCTGAAACTGTCTCACTGCTCTGCAAGTAACACACAAATGCAGGCTGATGTTATGGCAAAGCCCACGAAGTCAAAGGCACTGTGCAGTCTGTCCAGTGATCACCCTCAACCTCAACCACCCCCATCTAATGACCATTGTCTGAAGTAGCAACAAGCAGAATGAGTGTTTCTTGTCCCCTAAAGTACAGAGATCTTGTCAGTGTATTAATAGATTGATAGAGGTGTCTTATTTGCTCCCGAGCTCCAAAAACCACAAATGCCTTAAAGCGTTTCTAATCTGCCCAAGCAAGCAAAGCCAAGACACACATTACACCAGAAGGGGGTAGGAAGCCTGCCCAAAAGGTTTGTCCCATTATCAGGGAAAAAATGTAAGTGTTGGGAGTGGCAAAGAACACTCAACGGGGAGGTGAAACCTGGCACAGAAAGAGACAGATATGTCATGTTGACTTACAGATAGCTTCGAAGGTAAGGAAAGACACACCAAGCCCAGGGGAACAGACTTCGCAGAACGTTATTCCTGATCATATTGTCTCCTTTTCCAGTTTACAGATGAGAGAGTACAGGCCCTGGAAGCCCAAAACAGATCCAGGTTTCTCTGCCTTTTCTACCCTGCCACTGTTTTTTTCCCCAACAAACATAAGACATACACTCAAGCTACACAGCTTCCCAAGGAGTGTAAAGAGGGCTTTTCCCAGCTGTTTACTTTGTCTTCCACCTCTCTTGTCCCTTGTACTCTTCTTCTGTTCACCTTTTGGAAGCACAAGCTCCTTTCTCCACTGCAGTTTGCAGCTCTACACTTTTGAAGAGATGTTCACTGTCCCCAAAGCAGCATTTCCTTCGGTAAATGCCAGTTGGTCTGCACTTGTCATGGGGAAAACACCCAAGGCCTGTGAGCTTTTAGGGAGTGTGGCATAACACACCAAGCTTTCTCAGGACAGTTTTCCCTCACCAGCCTCTTCAGCCTGAGAACTCATGCCTCCTCCACAAAAAGAGGTCCTCTTCTCTTTGTATTAACCACCAAAGCCTCTGAGAAGCAGCCATGAGATGATGGGCCAGAGGCTGAGTTACAAGGAATGGATGCGCAGTACCCATGACCTGGCTTTTGTCATTACTCTAAAGTAGCCCTCTCTGGCATAGAGACTGTCATGGGTACAAACCACGTCAGTCTTTTGACTCTGTTTAGACCTGTGGAAATCATTTGCCCTGAGACAAGTACAAGGTAAGCAATCATACATAGGCATTTTTGTGGTGTTCACCACTGCCTCGCCAGCATTCCTCATTTGTAGGAATTAGTAACATTTGCTTACCAGTGTCCCAAGCTGCTGCAACCATAAATTGCTGTTTGTAGGGTGCTCAGATGAGCTATAGGAGGAAGGTGCCATACAGCCTTTCACTTCATGCAAACCTGCTGCAAACACAACTGACAGAGGGGACCAGGGAACAGCTTCTACCTGCTAAACGGTGGCCAAGCTTGCAAGCCTGCGTGACCAGCCTCTCCATCGCATCCAGAGGGCTTAAAACTTTTCATGTCTGTTGAAATATATTCAGAGCCAGACTTTTCCGTGGCACAGGAGACCACAATAAACCACCTCTAAGAGCGTTCAGCTGGGCCAAGACCACACTGGGGAGGCTCTCCCTGACAAAGCTGTGGCCATCCTCAGTGGCTTGGCCAGGCAGAGGCCTCTCTTGCAGTCCTGTGGTGCCAAAACTGAAGGGCCACTGGCTCTTCTGGCTCAGGCAGTCACCACTAGTAATCCCAGCGGCTCCTCATGGGAAGCAGGAAATCAGACAGGTCCCTAATTACCTGGATCTGCCCGAGATTAGGAAATCGAGGGGAGGCTGCTGGGCACTCCCCCCACCACTGCAGCACATCATCCATGCTTTTGCTTCCTTCCCTCTGCTACCCACGGGAGAGGCAGCCCAGACCTCTCCTAATGGCACCAGGGAGCACCTCGGCCTCCCCTCCCACCAGACCTGCCCAATATGCCACCAGTTCCACAGGTACAGCTGAGCACAGCTCAGCAGCTCCGGGTGCTGGGGAGGAGGCCTCTGCTCCTGTGTGCAGTGGGCAGGGTGGAGGGAGGGCTTCCCTCCTGTCCTGCACACAGGAGCAGCTCTCCCAGAGGGAGCCAGGTCTGCATGCCTGCCCATGGCAAACACTTCTTAGCTGAGCAAACAGCACTCGTACAGGGAGACTGCTGCTCTTGTAGGTGCCTCTCACTTGCAGGCATGACTGTCCAGAGGTAACCTCAGCATAAAATATTTGCATTATACCCCACACAAGGTATAATAATCTATAGCCCTTTTAACACTTCCTTTCATGGTTTTTGAAGCTTCATCACTCTTCTTTTCCTCTCCTCCCCTTCGCTCCACCTTTCTCTCCCCACCTGTCCACAATGTGTTTTGCTTCCTTTTCACTCTCACCCTGCCTTCATCCCTGAACCTCAGGTGACTGCTTCTGCAACCTGCAGGGACCCAAGGTGAGGGGAGCCAGGCACCTAGAGACCTTTGCAAGTCTTCTTGAGACAGCAAAAACCCACCATTATTCCCACTTTAGACAACAGGGCCAGTGAGTTGCTCACTGAGAGAAATCAGTGACCCAGAGGAGCGTGCACTCACAGAGTCCTGGCCCAAGCCTTCAACTGCACCTGCCAGCCACCCCCTGTCCCAGTGCATCCTTTCCAACATATTGCTTTGAATCTTCTCTCTCGTTTCTTACTGACTTTTCTCCGTTCCTTTGCTTCCACTTAACCTGCAATTACAGCTCATTGTTTCAGCTTGGACTGCAGGATCAGGACCCTAAAGTGTCTCTGTTGGGCCAAACCACAATCTTCCAATGTCAGGCTGCCCGGAAATGGCTGGGGGAGGAGAGGAAACCATCGACATGACATTTCTTCCAAGGAAAAACAATTGACTGTGTTAGTGTTCATACAAGCACACATCCCTGCTCTGCATCTGAAAAGCAAACACTGCAGCACAAAGAATCTTAAAAGGGGAAATGAAACAACTGCACTGACTTTCAGCACTCAGGCTCAGAAAATGCTGACCACTGAGCATGAAGAACCAGAAGAAAATAATTTGACTTTTAATAATCGAGTCCCTTTCTTTTGGACAGTGTCATCTATTTGAGCAAGACACAACAGGCAGTCAGTGTGCCAGGATATACCTTTCACACACTGCCCTCCTCCATATTGAGTTGCTATCCATAATTAACCATACATGTGTACATTGCTATGGCATAAGGATTGTGTGAATGCTGATCAGAACATCCTTAAGGCTACTTTCACAAGAAGCTCTGTTTAAAAAGGAAAAAAAAAAGCAAAAGGGAAGGTTAACTCATAATTCCTGCAACCTTTCTAGCTCAAGGGCTCTGAATCAAAGGTCTGGCACAAGCATGCTGCTGTAGGGAAAAGCTAAGATCCCAAGCAACCCCATCATCACCCTGGGACATCAGCACCCAGCATCTTTATATTGCTCAGAGGCAGGACCTCACCCTTCCTTCCCTGAGGGACCACAGCAGAGCCCAGTGGCCTTTCTCAAAACCTCTTCCCCTCCTGGGAATTTAACTGGACACAGCCTGCATGTCCTGACAGGACATCCCGATAGGATCTGGGGAAGGCAGGACTTGTCCCACCCCACAGCCTCAACCCAGGTGAGCTTCTCCGCAGACCCCTGTGCAGCAATCCTGGCAGAGGAGCTGCCGAGCTCTGTCACCATCACATCCCTCAGCCCCGAAGCGATGCCACAGAGAGATTCACGGGTGAGAGGGATGCCGGAATCATGACCTGGGCGATCTCTTCCACAGCTGTGTCCTTCGGGCGCTGGGCAAAGCGGCTCTAATCCTCTTACCTACCCCGTGCCTACCTGCCGTAAGCCAGCAAGCTCCAGGGCTGGCAGCACCGGGATCGCGGCTCCTCCCGCGCCCTGCAGCACCTGCGGTGCCCCCCGCCCGCCAGCCCTGCCCTGCCCTGCCCTGCCCACCCTCCCTGCCCCGGCCCCGCTCGCACCCGCTGCCCGCGGGGGAGCTCCGCGACCGCCGGGGGCGCCGGGACCGCGGCCGGGGAGGGGGCGGCTGGGCAGGGGGTGACGATTCGCGACAAGGAGGGGCGACGGCGAGACGGGAGGGGGTGTCTGGCGCTCCCCAGGGAGGCTCCCAGCCGCGGCTCCCGGGAGCGGCTCCTACCTGCGGGCGGCTCCGGCGGCGGCTCCGGCCCCGGTGGCGGCGGCGAGCGGGGGCCGGGCTGGGTCCGGGGGCCGGGCTGGGGCCAGGTCCCCGCCCCGCCTCGCCCCGCCCCGGACGGGCGGGACCGCGGCCGCCGCGGCCATCGGGGGCCGTGGTTGGTGGTGGAGGTCTTCTCTTGCTCTGACTGCCGCGTTTGGGGCGGTGGGACGCGGCCGCGGCCGCCCCGGCCCCTCAGAGCATCCCCCGGGCACGGCCAAAACCAAGCCCCGTGTCCGGCCGCAGCAGCGCGGGCTGGCCGCGGGCTCTCCCTGGCGCAGCCCAGTGCGGGGGTCCCTGCGCTGTGTCCCCTTCGCTGCCCGCCCTCCCTGACCCCGGCAGCACCTGCCCAGCCTGCGGCTCTGGGTGTACCTTCTGCTCCAAACCCCCAGGGGCACTGAGGAGGGCTCGCCACCCCAGCTCTGCAGCCTTCCCGGGAAGCAGTGTCCATTTGGATGAGTATTTTAAAAGACCTAGAAAAAGCAGCCACCCAGTAGCAAGAGACCCCAGGAACAGCCTGGGACATGTTGTTCTCTTCCACCTTTTTTCCTTTTCCTACCAGGTGGTGGGCTTTGTGATCTCTGTAAAGTATCTCTGTGGTTGGAGTTTTGAGAGGAAACATTCCCAGCAAAACAGCTCCACGATAACCATTCGGGACTGTTTCCTGGGGTGGAGGGATCCCTTTGCCTTCATGGGATTAAGTCAACGTGAATGCTACCACTTTTTTTTCCTCTCCCTCCCCTCTCTGACAAGATGACTGATGTTATTTTTTGACGGTCTTGTTTCTTCTAAAATCCAAATAAGCTAACACTTATTGAAAGTTTTGTCATGGTGTTATCACTTATGAACCAACACAAAACAGATGCCTAAATCCACACCTAAAGCCCCCAGAAGTGAGCTGAGTTATACATCAGCAGTTTATCAGCGTTTCATATACTGCCCTTCTAGTGACCAAGCAACACTCCTTCCCCCTGCAGCTTTGGCCCTCATGGCACACCCTGAAAAGTTTTCATCTCTTTGATCCCCAGGGATTGAAAACCCCTCAAAGTGCTGATCCTCAGAGCAAGCACTACAACCAGCAGGTCCCCTGAGCCATTACCAAAGTGGCTGCATCATCAAGGGAAAAGAGACACTCTCACTGGAAGGCATGTGCTGTGTGTGCTTCTTGGTGTTTTAAAGGCTGAGGGAGCTATTTTTAGAGCTGAAAGAACATTCTTCCTGCTCTGGTATTTCAAATCTTGTGCTATCCTGGACTAATAAATGGTTCCTTGCAGCTTTTGCATTTTTGCAACCCCGCAAAATCCAGAGATCTTGGCCAGGTTTTCCCTCTGTGTGCACCTGACACTGTCCCATGGCTCTGCCACACTCAGGAGCCACAACAAGTGACTGCTGGGCATGGCATTCCTTGGGCAAGGAGGTGCTATCAACCCCCATGTCACCAAGAGAGGCCCCAAAATCATGTGCCTGTAAAAACGTATGCTGGAAGTATCAGCATTAGCCACATCCCTAACTGCAAGGCTTCCTGTGATAGCAAAAGTCAAGGAAACTTGCTTTAAAAGTAACAGAGGAGAGTTGTTTGAGTCTCAGTATCCCCTGGCTTTCAGCAGCTGAGGCTGAAGAAAACCTTCTGTCAAACAGGTGAGAAGTGACAACGCGCAGCCCCGGTGATTTTGGCCAGAAAGGAAACGGCAGCAACTAATCAGAAAGTGCCTTAGTCACTTCACCTCTGCTGTCAGCCAAAGCTGGAAGGAAAACAATGCACCATATGGGATTTTAAAGCAATTTCATTTTTGGTAAACTCTGAGTGTCTGAGACATTTTGTTCACAGCTTTTTTTCGAGCAGATGGTGTCCCTGTGAGTGCTGGAAAATGCACGATGCTGACAGGCCCACCAAAAACCTCTCACAAATTAAAAACTCACAGCTTAAAAAAAGGGTACAGCCTGGGGACAACAACCATGTGCTGGAGCACGTCCAGTGCAGGAAGCGAGAGAGATGCAGGGAGGCATCAGCCATCAAGGGATGGTGTTACCTAGCTCCATGGAGATATTTGCTACAATCCCTTCTTCATGGGACAGCAGTCCCATGGGAGGAGCAGCCCCCCTCCTGTGAAACTCAACCTGCAGCATCCCCCTGTCAAGGGCTGTGAGGGTGCAAAGGGAGGCAGGGCACATGTGCATGTTGTTTTTGAGCTACATCCCACAATAACGCTTCCCCTGCCTCCCTCATGGTAATGCTGCATGTCCCAAATCCCACCGCAAGCCCACATTGACCTGTAGAAAGAGTTTTTCCTCCCACATCTCCACCAGCACTACCTTGGCAAAAAGTCGAGTAGCCATAAGTGCATTCCCTCCTCTTGTTTGGGGTTACCCACCACCTGGCTTTCCCAGGGGTAGGTGTGCCAGAGGCTGACACTGTTGTCCCTCCCTGCTAAGCCCATGACTTGGGAGACACAATTGCAGTGACACTGGTGGGCAGATGTGACAACGCTCCTGGGACGCTGTGAGCAGCGCGTGACTTCTCCTGTCCCAGCCTACACTGGGTTTTCCTGCTTGGCCACTGAGACCCACTGGGGATGTGCCTGGCAATTTGCCTGGCCTGGAAAGCCAGCCTGCTCCAACGCAAAGCAAATGTTCACAGTTATGGCTTTGCTTTGCTGCCTGTTCATTAGTATTTCCTCCCTCTGATGCATTACAGCATGTGCACGTTCCCTGTCCAAATTCCACCACGTAAGTGCTCTTCACGGGGACTGAACTGTGCGCCATCTCACATCTGCTTTCTTCTAGGGACAGAGAAGTGGGAATTCTGAGCCTCCGTGTCTTGACATCAAGTAGCAGGATCAGGCCTCAGAGGTATTTTGCTTTTCATATAAAAGAGAGGACTAACACAGGCCTAACCTCTGCCCTTGCAGACCTCACGGCCCAGGAAGAATCAAAGCAACCTCATGCTCCCCTAGTTACAGTCCTTCCCAGACTGATATTGCCACTGAAGGCTGGCTATGGTTATCCGGGGCTGTTTTTCTGGGGAGGAAAAGGTACACAGAGGTGAGGAAAACAGAAAAGGGAATTGCTTTGAGTTTGCTTTCATTCCTGGGAAATACATGTCTTCTGAAAAGGTATATTTACCACCTGTTTTTCGTGTCCTGCTCCTTTCTGCTCCAAAGCTGGAGTGAGGCCTGGCAAGAGACATCACCCATCCAGAAACAGGAGCGGTGAGGTTAAATATGGCATGGGTTAAACGGGGGTAAAACTGTCAAAAACCAGTTAAAACTGCTTCTCAGTTTAAGTGTTAACCCTCGTTTCATTAGCCAGATCATCTCTTACCAAAGCCATCTGTTCTTTTATCCAGCTTTTTAAATATTGTGATAGACTTCATAACTCCAAAAGCCCTGCTGATAAACAGATGCCATCTGAGCACACGCGCCCTTGGCTTGGCTTTGAGAAGGTGTGCTAAGGGTTGCTGGAGAGGCAGTCACCTGCAAAGGGCACTCTCTCACCCTAAGAAATATCCCCAGATCCCAACCCTCCAAGATGAACTGCTCCCTCTTCCCAGCTCGCCCACATAATCCCAACTGAGTAAAATTCACCTGGATTTGGGAATGGAGCAGCAAATTGAAGAGACCCACTCCATCTGACTGCAACAAAGTGACGCCATTTAAATGCTAGGAAGGGAAATGGAGCAAACGGAAAGTTACTTTTTTTTTTTTTTTTACATAAAAAGAGAAGTCAGAAAAAAAATACTGCTGTGCTAGCAAATACATGGGATAAAGAGGACTTGCACCCAAGGCAGTGAGGGTGCGAACTCTGGGGAGGAAACCTTGAAGTGCCAGTGTATGCAAATCATCTGCTGCAGACTGGCATGCCTTGTCCCCAAGAGGTACATGTTCTGACCTGGCAGAAGAGCAGTCCCATATGAAGCACAGAAAATGATGGGGGGGGGGGGGAAATTTTTTTTTCTTTTTAAGGATAATGAGATTGTGTAAAATAATTATTTCCTGTTATGGTGCTATAAACACTAATGGAATTGTGTCAGCCAGGAAAATTTAGTACCCCCAGTAAATACCAAGGTTAGGTATACTGTGCAGAGATAGTAGACATCATTTCACCTACATTTTTTATCTGTGCTGCTCACTGGAGCTTTCCCCCCAGGCATTTTCAAAGGTCTGCAAAAGGGGATTTTATGTTTTTACTGTTCTGCATGCAGGCCTTGCTGCTCATCTTCTTCTCTTGGGCAGTAAGATATATCTTTAAAAATGCAGCTTGTGTGGGGCAATACCTTTACCTGCACTGGGGCCAGACCTTTGCTCCTTGCCCTTTTGCCTGTAGCCCCAGCTTGGCCATGGCTGGTGCAGGAAGGGAGGGGCAGTGGCAGAGCTCCTGGCACAAGGCTGAAAACCGCTTATCTCCCTGGAACTCACAAGTGTGGCTGTACCAAAGCCAGCAGGTTGGGGTGGGAATGGTGGCAGCTGGGGCACAGAGTGGTTGGGCAGACCTGTTGGGGTCATTTCACTGCAAAATCGGGGTGGAAATTCTTTAAGCGTTTTCTCAGAAAAAGCTTAAATCAGCGTTTAACTCTCCAGGGAGCGGGACAGCAGGAGATGCACTCAGTAAAAGCAGCGCCCCTCATGTGCGGGGAGTGACTGAGACAGCAAAAGCCTCCAAACCATCCAGCGGGCAACTCTGC